TATGGACCATCTTGTGGTTAGATATTTAAAGCAATGAAAATACCACATTGACCACTAGATAGTGCTAAGTATTATACAAAATTCTTAGGATACTTAGCACCATCTTGTAGCCAAATGTGGTATTTTTCAGTTTAAAGCAATGAAAATCTTTCAACCAGCACGGTTTGTTTTTTTTTACTTCCACAAATTTACATGCATTTTCACCTGGGGAATTGCTATGCAACTTCTTTATAAATGCACCCCAATTAATAATTAAATGTTCCATTTTCACAGAAGTCTATACATCAGACCACAAAGATGGACAACTAAGATGAAAGGAAGGACAGAGGGATTTGGTTCCAAATGAGGAACAACCCCTCGAAATGAGGAACAGTTGGAAGCTATGCTTATGTATTTTATAGGGCAGCACAGGGGCTAAATGGTTAGCACTAGTACTAGGGTTGCTGGTTCGAATCCCAACCACGGCACCACTTGCCTGGAGTTCACCCTGTGCCTGCGTGTGTTTCCTCCAAGTACTCCGGTTTCCTCCCACACTCCAAAGACATGCTGGTAGGTTAACTGAATCCTGTCTGAATTAGCCCTAGTATGTGTATGTATGAATGTGAATTAGGGACCTTAGATTGTACACCCTTTGAGGGTTAGGGACTGATGTGAATGTACAACACATATATGTAAAGCGCTGTGTAAATTGATAGTACCATAAATAAATACATTTTAACAATTAAAGACACAGAAACTCCATAAAAGGGTTTTCAGCTCATAGAAAGAGCAGCTGTTTTTTCGAAAATGATAATGTGGTTATAGTATATGACCATTTTTAGATGTAAATAGCGCTTGCTAGCACTGACTTATTATTTTAGCCAAAGAATGTATGGAATGTCTGGTTTGAGGACTTTATAGATGTCCCAGAATGATGTCGCTCTAAAACTATGGTTTTCATTTAAAGCTACCGCCAGTCAGCACAATTAGGATGCAGTCACACTCTTAAATACGCAGTGTCTGAAGGTCAAAAGTTGAACTCGCTGTTCTGCATCTCCTGTCACTATAGGAAATGGTGACAGAAACATGCAAAGTATATTGTAACATATGCATGGAGCCACTGGAATGTTACACAAGCAAAATGAGAGGACTGCATTCTCCATATCAAAGACGTGTTAAAATGCAAATTATCTCTGCAAAAATGAAATTCAGTTTTGGGTTTGCAGGTCTTCTAATGGGGTCAGAAGATTCTCTATAAATTCACCAAGTAGCAGTAACCTTTAATATTTTGCTGACTTGGCAATGTAGTAATTATTTATTGCGCTACACCTATAATAATAAAAATGGATATGTGTTGCATTATGAGAAGGACAATTATGTCAGAGGAATTACATGAAGTAAATAGATTTATGACCTAAGGGAGATGGTTATATCTGAGAGCTATGCACCTTTGTGAATTTGGCTGGCTGTATAAAGAAAGGGTAAATACATCAGTAAGCTCATGATAACATTTACTCCTATAAAAGCAAATGCTTTCCTTAAATGGTTACTCAAAAAGATGCATAGCACTACCCAAATGCTATTTCAGTGGATGTGTTGGCTTTACTGGGAAAAAAATTAATTATGGTAACCATATATCTGCCAGGCACTCATACAAAGGTTTGTATACTGTATCTGTTACCCTCTTCTTCTATTTGGCTGCTGTGAATCAGAAAAACATAACTGTGGCTACTATGATGCAATTAAATTTTTCCCTGCTCTGCTCCTATAGTATAACTCAGCCTTTCTCAACCAGGGTGCCCGGGCACCCTGGGGTGCCTTCAGGCTTTTTCAGGGGTGCCTTGGCACAATGCTTAAAAACTGCCTAAAATTGTATACATGCCTGCAGGAGGATCAAGAATGCCTTTTAGTTACACAAAGCCATAGGTTTTCATTGAGCACTTTTACAACCTGCCGGCATCCTAACAACCAATTACATCATTAATTGATAAGAAGGACGTCAGGTACTTGCACAGAATCCTTGTTTGCCCCACTCCATCAGCAGTGGGGTCACATTAGCTGAGGGAGAAGAGGAACATTGAAATACTAGTCAGTACCAGGGTTCAAAAGTGTATTTGCTTTGGAAGAATAAATCCCCCCTAACGTTGGGTGTCCTACATGTGTGGATGTTGCTGCGTTATGTACAACTATTAGAATAAATTTTTACATTTTAGAATGGGGTGCCTTGAAATTGTACAGAATGTTAAAGGGTGCCTTGAGATTGTCCATAATTTTAAAGGGTGTCTTGAGATTGTCCATAATTTTAAAGGGTGCCTTGAGATTGTCCATAATTTTAAAGGGTGCCTTGACTGAAAAAAGGTTGAGAAACACTGGTATAACCAATACTGCCAATCAATTTGGTCACATAGGAGGGTGATGAAAATGTGATAAACTAAACATGAATAGGTGCATCATTGGTCGGTGAAAGAAAAAAATAGTTGGTGCCAATGGACAGTGGAAGAAAAAATGGCTGGAGTAAAAGGTCAGTGGAAGAAAAAATGGCTGATGCCAATGGTCAATGGGAAAAAAAAACTACATCAGTGTCAGTGAATGACAGTGCCCCAGCATTAGTGGGAGGAAACATTGTGCTAGCTTCAGTGGTAGAATCCATGGCATGACATAAGTGATCAGTGGTTATAAAACATACCCTAGAGTCAGTCCATGGGTACTGTTATTTGCTAATTGGTGAGAAAGAAAAATGTGAGAAACAAATGCCACCACTTCGGTGTTGGTGGAAGAAAACATTTTGCCATTGGCAGTGTGTGTGTGTCTAATAACAAACCTCAGATGAGCCCCCTCCCACCTCAAATTAGTTCCCTTTTTCCTTAATAGGGGTGAGCTTAAAGTTTGGTTCAAAAAACAAAACTGTGGAATGAACCTTCGCTGTTCGAACACTCAGATGAATACCTGAGACAAAAGTCATGTATAATAGCGGGGTTTTCACCACAATTATACATGACAGCTTCCTGCTGTCAATGGTTGTTAAGGATAATTGATGGTGCAGGCACCCCCAAGACCTTAACAACAAGTGAGGTCACTGGCCCCATTCACCTACAGCACATGTAAGATGTGAATAGTGAAAAAAAATGCATGGGGACCCTCCAATTCATACCCTGCCCTTCAGGTCTAGTATGATTTTTTTGAAGGGGACTCTACAAAAAAATAAATAGACCATTGGACATAGTATGGACTTTAAAAGATTGCCCCAGGTAAAACTCAAGAAAAAAGGGTGTGGTGCCCCCAAAATTCATACCAGACTGTTATCCAAATATTCAGCTTGAAAGGCCAGGAAAGAGGAGAATGTGCATGCCCCCCCCCCCCCCCTCAAAAAACATACCAGGCCAAATGCCCTTAACATGGGGAGTTACCTTTTCCCTATATAGGTGAAGACAAGATTCTCTTCCCCACAACCCTGGCCCTGTAGGTGTGGGGTCTATGCGGGTGGGGCTTATCAGAATCTAGAAGTCAACTCTAATATTAAGGAGTCCCCAGATACCAGCCTCCCATGTTAATGAATAAGGATTGTGGGGAATAGGCCTTTGTCTTCATCAACATAGGGGACAAGGTACTTTGCCAGTGGGATCCCCACACACTCATCCTTCCCCTTTCCTGGCCTGTCTGTATACTGAGATAAGGGTCTGGCAGGGATTTTTGCAGGGGACCTTATGCTTTTTTTCTTGATCATTGTGTAGTGTTCTCCCTTAAAAATCCTACCAGACCTAAAGGGCCTGGTATTGGAGGGAACCCCATGCCGTTTTCTTTGTGGGGGTCACTGACATCTATATGAGACCCTCATCTAGGTTAGCGTTTGGTGGTCATGAAAGGATTCCCTGCTTTCTTTGTTTACAAATGAAGTAACTATGGCAAACAGGGTGGGCTTTAAATCCCACTTGCCCCATATATGTGTTCATGGGTAGCAAAGCTTTCTGTGCTGAGAATGTGCTCACTACATGCTCTCAGCACAGTGACCATGCTGTTACAGACAACTCTCATTCTCTACTAATGATCATAGTGGTTACATGATTGTCTATTTTTTCCTGCCCCTTGGACATAATGACCCAGTTAAAGGGATACCAGGGATGGTTGGGAAGGGGTTAAACACTTTTATGTGTAAATGTTAGTTTTGCTGTAGTATGTTGTATACATGACACACAGAAATGTCACTTCACAGGCAGGGTAAGGGCATCCCTCAGGCCCTTTTTTGTTTTGCTTTGGTACATGTTCCCCAGGACAGTACTCAGCCCCCCAATACCATTTGTTTGACAGTTCCTTAACTATTAGCCTAGAAAATGTCCATTACTGTTTTTTTTCCATTTGGCTCTTGTTGACTTTAACGGGATTTGGATCTAGCACCCAAAATTGAATAATATTCACCAAACCTGCATTGAACAAAACCCAGGTATGTTTGACTCATCACTATTCCATTCAGACCTCAAATCAGCATTCCTTCTTCACACCTTTACTACCTCAGACCTCAGTTCAGTCCCCCCCTTTTTCTCCTTAACCCCTTCTGACCTTACATCACCTCCTCCTTTTCAAAGCATAACATGACCAGTAACAAGATGGGGGGTAGATTTCCCCCATTCTCCTGTACTGCTTGCAGAGGTTGCAGGCACCAGGTGCTGCTACCCTGGGTTCTGGCACATAGCAAGCAGCATGGCAAGTGGCTGTGGATAAATGAATGTACATCTCTAACTACAGAGGGACTAGTCACTTCTCCCGCCTGATCCAATTCACCCTCTGATCCCTGAGGCCTCCAGGGAGTACTTGTATCCACAAAATAATCCTTAATTACTTTCCACAATCAAGAGGTTTACAGACTCACATAAACCTAAAGGTTTGTTTTAAAAAATTTACAGAGTATTAATACTTTCTGAGCCTACCTTAAAGAAGAACCTTATCAAAACAGAAACTACACAGAGACCAAAGCTGTTGAGACAATAAACACTTTGGTAAAAAGTATGTAATGAACAGCGGTCAGCACCATGCAATGTACAACATATCTTTTAGGGGTCAGCAGTGTCATGGAGGACCTTTTATTGCATGTCAGTGGAAGGGAAAATACTGTATGTCAGACCTCTGTGGTCAGTGAAAGGAAAAAATGCCCAGCATTGTTGGTCATTGGTAGAAAGAGATGCTTAGCATCAGTGGTCAGTGGGAGGAGGAAATTCCTGTCATCAGTGGTAAGTGGGAGAATTAAATGCCCAGAATCTGTGGTCAGTGAAAGAGGAAGATATACCTAGCATCGGAGGTCATTCGAGGGAAGAAACACCCAGCAATGGTGGTCAGAGGGATCAAGAAATGCTTGACTTTAGTGGCCAATGGGAGTAATAAATGCCTGATGTCAAAGATCAGTGTCTGCTGTTGATGATCAGAGGTGAAAAAATGCTTAACATTGATGATCAGTAGGAGGAAGAATTGCCGGTGACTATGTTCAGTGGGAAAAAAAAAATACTTTTGTAATTTTGGGAAGAAATGCCCAAAATTGATGGTCTGTGGGAGGGAGAAATACCTGGCATCAGTAGTCAATGGGAGTAATAAATGCCTGATGTCAAAAATCAGTGTCTGCTGTCAATGATCCGAGACGGAAAAATGCTGTTCTGCCACTCCAATCTACGTATTGCAAATGTGATCTCTAACTGATCTAGTTGTGGCAAGATAGCTATAATTTACAGTCTTAGTAGAATTGGCAGACAGTGACTTGATCCAAATTAAATCTTGCAGATCGTAGAAAGCTGTAATCAAAAACTTATGCAGATTTTCACAGATGAACAGCAGATACCTCAAAATATAGCATACCAAATAAAAAAATCATAACATGTGCTAAGAGCAGAAAGTAAGACACACGAAAAAAAGAGGGTGAGACCAGCTATACAGAGCTACTGAGTGAGGAAGGGACAACATTATTTAATGGCAAACAAACAATATACATGTGTTACATGATAAATGTCATTTTGCCTGTAAGGGGAAAAAAGAAGTGATGTTCAGTGTGTGTATGTGTGTGTGTGTGTGTGTGTGTGTGGGGGGGGGGGGATTGGTATCCAGTGGGGAGAGAAACTGGTTTTCAGCGGAGAGAAGGGGGTTTAGGTGCTAAATGGTGCTCAGTATAGGGTCGGGCTGACTATGATTAACATGTAAGAGGGCTGCCTGACATGCAGAATTGCTGCCCAGCAGATGCCTAAAGCTCTGGAATACTCCTTTAATATTTTGGCAGCCTTTTAAATGAAAATTAAATTCAGCCTGACCCTACACCGAGTGTCACTCTTGTCTTTTCTTACTGAATCCAGCTGCAACTTTCTCTAAATTATCTTGGTAAGGGAAGTTTCCTGGACCTGCAGAGCTTTCAATCCCAATGGCAGCCACTGGTTATATTCCTCTTCTCTTCTCCTGCCTGGACTTACAGCATTGCCATGTGCGTGCTATTAGCAGAAAATGCAGTGGGAGACAGAGTAAAGAGCATTCCCTCCCTCCTCATAATAACCAGGTTGTTGGAGAGGGACCACGGCTGAGGCTGGCTTTGACTGCACTTGAGTCAATTGGCTGTCAGAGAAAGCTTTTAATAGACACTCCAGTCCCATGGACAATATTGGACAAGAGCAAAGTGGCAATTTTTAATGAATGATCCTTTTTTTAGTGTGGGAGCAACCCTGGGTGTCACCAGTCACTTCTCTTTCAGTTTTGGATATTTAGACCCTCAGTCAGTTTTTTCTTCATGGTTCTGTTATGGAGATTTATTATTACTTCACATCATGCTGAATAATTTTCACCTGGACAAGAAGTGAGAGTTCCAAGAGGGGCACAGACTTAACAAACAGCACTCTTTGTTAAGGAAAACGTATGGGGAGGCTAGGTGAGAGTATAAGCCTTTCACTGTTGCCCTTGTCTCAGTTTGACATTTTCCCTCACTTAGGACCCTCATAGACAGCTTGAATTGGCTAAAATTTAAGCCATGGGTGGCCCTGCAAGCACCACTTGGCTCAGCAAAATTTGATCTAAAAATTGACTGAGCTAGATGGAAAATTATCAGATGAACAGTGGCTCCGTCCTATCAGCACATGGTGCCATGGCTGCTTGAAAACAACAGCCAGAACTGTGGTGAATCCATGTTAGCATGGAAAAAGAAACTGATTTTCTGTTGTTCATCCCATGGGCTGAACAAGAGAAAAGTATGGCATATATGGCAACCTTTACTGTCCAAAAGAAAATTTTGTTTCAGTGCAAAGAGGTAAATTAATATATCCTTTACAAGAGCTCTAATAGCAATAAAACCTGAGAGGAGTTCTTACCCTTCTCTGCTCAGTCTAAAAATAAATAATTGTTTTGGTTGAAGTTACACTTTATAGTTGATATGAGGATTTATAACTGGAGTGCAGTGTAGTGGCCTAGGTCTTCAGCTGTCCAACACGACCCATTCACAGTGCACCAATCAACTGCGCTGCTCAAGGAGCATGAGCTACGTTTATTGGAGCACTGTGCAGAAGCATGTCATGTATTGGGTATAGGAGCAAGGTTTGACTCTCCAGCACAGGACATTTTAACCTTCTCTGCCACACTTAAGCAGTCCATGGATGACTCAATTTGAGGTGGAAGGAAAGAAGCTGGCAGAACACAGTATTTAGTGCTATAGCTGCTAGCAGTAATCAAATATTAAAAATGGATGGATCAACTTGGGTACCAGGGGCAGACTGACAACTCATGGGGCCCCCGGGCAATAGGGGATCATGGGGCCCTTGTGTCCTTGCCCACACTCAAAGCACACCCAAAAAAGCATATAAAAGGTACCAGGAGCATTTCATGGGGCCCCCTACTGATCCAGGGCCCTCGGGTGGTGCCCGAGTGCTCAAATAGACAGTCCGCCCCTTTTGGGTACAAACAGCCTGCCCATACAAGAATTGAATCTCAGACGGTCCCTGCTGAGCCAGCTGAATTTTGATCACTGTATGGTCAGCTTTGGAAGTAAAAAGAAATGCAGACAAAAATCCACATTCGTACCACCCCAACAAATTGATGTGCACCCACAGCCATGCAATAAGCAGAATCTAATATAAACGTTTATACCTGCGCTAGGATTAAATATTTATATAACAATTGAATAAAGCTGCTGGCACAGGTCAACAGATACAATAAACCTCCCAAAATATCATTCAAAAACTGCAGCGCTAATCTATAGACAATGGTTATAGACAATGAAAAGAGTGATCACAAAAAGTCCAAAAAAAACAGATAATCATTCTCAATTATTGTAGAGTCCACAAAATGGGCAAGTAGTGTTTCCAAAATACAAAAGAAAAAGGCACCCAGTAATCCAATGAGACTGAAGGGAAAACACCTCAGAGATCCGGTGGTAATGAAAGTGAGTTAGGATGCTTACCGGAACTGCAGATGACATGGCTCCCCAAATCAACACAGACTGTGGAAACCTGGACTTCAAGCATCTTGCAGTGTGTGCCTTTCCATTCTTCCTCCATCCTCTGGGTTCTTGGTTTCCAAATGAGATGCAAAAGTTGCTCTCATCAGAAAAGAGGACTTTGGACCACTGAGCAACAGACCAGGTCGCTTCTGACGTTGTTTGGTGTTCAGGAGCGGCTTGACAAGAGGAATACGACATTTGAAGTCCATGTCCAGGATCCGTCTGTCTGTGGTGGCTCTTGATGCACTGATTCCAGCCTTAGCTCACTCCTTGTGAAAGTCCCCAACACTTTTGAATGGCCTTTTCCTGACAATCCTCTCCAGGCTGCGGTCATCCCTGCTGCTTGTGCACCTTTTTCTTCCACACTTTTTCCTTCCACATAACTTTCCATTAATATGCTTCGATACAGCACTTTGGGAATATCTACCTTTTGCAATTACCTTTTGAGGCTTTCCCTCCTTATGGAGGGTGTCAATGATGGTTTTCTGCACAACTGTCAGGTCAGCAGTCTTTCCCATGATTGTGATTCCTACTGAACCAGACTGAGAGACCATTTAAAGGCTCAGGAACCCTTTGCAGGTGTTATGGCTTAATTAGCTGATTAGAGTGGGACACTTCGAGCCGAGAATATTGCACCTTTTCACAATATTCTAATTTTCTGAGATTGTGGATTTGGGGTTTTCATGAGTTGTAAGCCTTAATCATCACAATTATGACAAATCACAGCTTGAACTATCTTGCTTTGCATGTAATGAGTCTATCTCATATATTAGTTTTACCTTTTAAGTTGCATTACTGAAATAAATTAACTTTTGCACGATATTCTAATTTTTTGAGTTTCACCTGTATATCCTTGTGTAAATTATTTATTTAAGATAAAAGTATTGCAAATAGTTAAAAGTAGGCAGGCATCACAATCTCCAAGCTGCAGCAATTGATTACTGCAGGCCAGCAGCCGCTAAGTGTGGTGACATCACGTTAGGCACTGCCCAACTCATTTCGTTATACGTTTGACATCATCAGGGGCATGGTTAAATGACACACACCACTCCAAAGATATATACACAGCGCGAGCAGAAGAGTTTACTTTACATTTGCGGCCAATAAGAAACAATTAAGCAGGCACATATGGATGGATCCCCACAGTGACATCTTGTGGAGAAATAAATTAAATAAAAACATATTAAATGGACACCATGATGTTTGTCCATATACTCTAAGTCTATGAATAAATCCCCAATTTGCCATCTAGTGGAAAAAGGGCAAAAAACTCCCAAAAATAAATTAATGAAAAATTAAATGAAAAATAAATGGAAATCATTTTATTTATCCTCACATAATAAAAAATAAAAAAGTTGAAAGATAAAAAATAAAAAAACAACAAATTGGGAACAGGAGAATTCTTTAATCCACCCATTACAAAATAACACTTATATATAGAAATAAAAATATGCTAAAAAAAATAGAAATACTCATAAAACTGTGAAGCAGGGAGATAAGTATTAAAAAACCATTAACTGTTATTAATGAAACAATTCACGTCCCATTCAACATTAAGTCCAACTGGGGTGAATGTCTTGAGCTTGTAAATTCATTGCGTTTCCATCCACAAGATTTCCCATCTTGACATGACATCCTCCCTGTTGGGTTTATTTGTCAAAGGCTAAAAATAGAATGTCACTTGGATCCCTATTATGCCATATATCATCAATGTTGGACACACTGTCCTGGAAAACCATGCCTAATGTTTTTCCACACTTACATTGAAGCATATAAACCATGTTTTGGTGGAACATGTAATAAAGGAATTAATGTTATAGTCTCACAAAGTCTGTTACGATCGAAAATGCTGATCCTCCTCCCTTTAAAGGAAGTCAAAACACATATTGAGCATCTTCGACATTGAGAGAAGCCTTTAAGGTCCTGAAAAAGGTTGATCTAAGGGGTTGGTAAACAACATTTGGGGCTAATCTATGCCTCGAGGATGGAACTCACCTGTAAATAACTTGTGGTCGTTCTGGTAACAAAGGTCCTAGTATAACATAATTTTTAAGAATTAGACAATGTTTTTTAATAATCCTTTTTAACCACTAGCCTACAGGGCACTTATACCCCCTTCCTGCCCATGTCAATTTCCAGCTTTCAGCGTTGTCACACTTTGAATGACAATTGCGCGGTCATGCAACACTGTACCCATATGAAATTTTTATCATTTATTTGAGATAGATAGAGCTTTCTTTTGGTGGTATTTAATCACCTCTGGGATTTTTATTTTTTCTTAAACAAACCAAAAAACCACAGAAAATTTTGAAAATAAAAGGTTTTTTCTTAGTTTTTGTTATACAATTTTGTAAATAAGTGATTTTTCTCCTTCACTGATGTGCGCTAATGAGGCTGCAGTGATGGGCACTGATAGGTTACACTGATGGACACTGATAGGTGGCACTGATGGGCACTGATGAGGAGGCATTGGTAGGTTGCACTGATGGGCATTGACGGGCATCACTGATGGGCACTGAAAGGCAGCACTGATACATGACACTGATATATGGCACTGATAGGCAGCACTGATAGGCAGCACTGACTGGCACTGATAGGCGGCACTGACTGGCACTGTTAGGCAGCACTGACTGGCACTGTTAGGCGGCACTGACTGGCAATGATAGGCAGCACTGACTGGCAATGATAGGCGGCACTGACTGGCACTGTTAGGCAGCACTGACTGGCACTGTTAGGCGGCACTGACTGGCAATGATAGGCAGCACTGACTGGCAATGATAGGTGGCACTGATGCACACTGATAGGCGACACTGACTGGCACTGATAGGTGGCACTGATTGGCAGCACTGATAGGTGGCACTGATAGACTTTGATAGGTGGCACTGACTGGCACTGATGGGTGACATTGAAAGGAAGCTCAGATGGGCACTGATATGTGGCATTGATGTGCACTGGTATGCAACGATATGTGGCATTGATGTGGCACTGATGGGCACTGACACATGGCACTGATGAGCACTGACTGCTGGCACTGATGGACACTGACAGGTAGCACTTCTGGGGCCACACTGATCATCAGGGCACACTGATCATCAGTGCCCTGATGATCAGTGTACATGTTCCCTCCGCGGAAAGCCGATTACCGGCTCTCCTCACCTCTCGAGCTGTCAGCGTGTTTACATGTGATCAGCTGTGATTGAACACAGCTGATCACATTACCGAGCCGACATCTTCAGCTCTTTCCATGATCCGCTGTGTCCGAGGGACACAGCACACCGGCGATCGCCACGCTGCGCGCTCCCTGAGCCGTGCATGCGCAGTGAGAATGGAAGGAAGTCATGTGACGTCCTATCAGAACGAGAGAACTATATGGCGTGCGGAAGGTGGTTAAAGACATGATGTTCTGTTGAAAAGGAGGTCACCAAAGAGCATGCAAAGGAGCTGTTTTGACAATCACCTCTATTGGTTCCACTCAAGAGCTGGTTCCTATCCATGATGGCCACATCATTAATAGTATGATTTAGAGTACCCTCATCATACCCCTTTTCTAAAAAATTTGATTTTAAATTCTGGTCATTTTGAAGGGTACAGTTGCACCTCAGTCTAAGAAATTGGCTCTTTGGAACTGCCTTCAGCCGTGAGGCATGATGACAATTGTCAACAGAAATTAAACCATTGCGGTCAGTTTCTTTGAAATGTTTGGTAATAGTGTTGTTACCCTTCAATCGAATATTCAAATTTAATACCCCTATCATTGTTAATAAAATTGAGGATGAAAGATTCTAAAGAGCCCTGATCCCTCTCCCACAGCAGGAGAATATCATCAATGTACTTTCACCAGAGAATTAACTCAGGCAGATGGTCTTTCAAGATGACATCCTCCTCCCACTTGGCCATAAAAAGATCAGCCATACTTGGAGCAAACTTGGCTCACATTGCTATGCCACAGTTCTGCAGGAAAAAGGAGCCCCTAAACCAAAAATAGTTGTGTCGCATGGAAAAATCAAGCAACTGAATGACAAAATCTCTCTAAGAGGCAGGGATCCATCCTGATTTAAAAAATATCTGACAGGCTCCAGGCCCTGGTCATAGGGGATGATTGTGTAAAGAGATGCCACATCTGCTATGGCCAAGATATATCCCCCATCTACTCAAACTCAGGACGTGAGTTGTATCCTTCAAAAAAGTAGGCTATGTATATATATCTTCAGTGTGGTATGCATCATTTAGCCACACCCCTGACAATGGCAAAGTATGACAATACGTGTTGGGCAGTGCCTAAAGTGATGCCACCACACTTAGTGGCCGCCGGCCAGAAGGAATGCATTGCCATTTCTGTGATTGCTGCAGCTTTGAGATTACAATGCCTGTCTACTTTTAACCCAATGTGAGTGCAATACTTTTATCTTAAATAAATCGTTTACCCAAGGATATACTGCAGCTTGAGCTTTTGTATTTTATATGCCCATGTTGCTTGAATGTAAAGTTGGAGCGGAGCCGAGGGTCAGAGCTTTATTCCACCATCCACTACAGATCAGTTTGAGGATAGCCCCTTAAGCTCTGTTGGCTTTTCCATTAATTTGAAAGCCAAACAGTTCCGGTAAGTATCCTAACTCACTTTCATTACCATCGGATTTCTGAGGTGTTTTCCTTTCAGCCTCATTGGATTATTGGGTGACTTTTTCTTTTGGATTTTTGGAAACACTACTTGCACTTTTGAACTTTTTACAATACTGGAGCACAATTATCTGTTTATGTTGGACTTTTTTTATCACTTTTTTCATATTCTCATTAACCAATGAGTGAAAATTGGATGAGAGGAATAAGCCAATCCAGGGCTGGACTGACCATTTGGAAACTCGGGCACTGCCCGACGGCCCGGGGTCAGTAGGGGGCCCCATGAGATGCCCCTAGTACCTTTTTCATAGACTTTTTTGAGTTTGGGCAAGGACACAGGGGCCCCATGATCCCCTATTGCCCAGGGGCCCCATGAGTTGTCAGTCCGCCCCTGAGCCAATCTGTGTACATGCTGGAGGGTACGTATTTAAAGTTATAGTAGACCCTTGGTTTTTTAAGCACTTTCAGCAGCTGATTTAATCACTTGCTGAGTATGTAGTTTCTTTATCCTTAAATATTTTAGTGTTTAGAGATGGTGCAATAACTGCTGCCCCAGGTTTCCTGTTTTAGGGTGGCTCCTTTCTACTGCATCAAGGTATGGAGTCACCCTTACATGCAGGGACCAGAGCTCTGTCTCCCTACACTATGTACATCAATAGAAACATAGCCCCGTAGCCTAGGACGGCAATGCACTCCCCTGCTCCTCCCTCATTCTCCTTTTTACATGTTAACAACTAGCTGAAGACTGCACTGTTCACTGTTTACTTTTTCTTGTGAAGACTGGCAGCTTCATGGATGCAACACTGAGCGAGCAGGAGCCAGCAGTTGTGGTATGAATTTTAACAGATGCTTTAGGCAGATGTAGCTTACACAACAGTTCTTATTGGATTTTTTATGTATTAGGTCCTATCACATATGGTAATTTTCTATCATGCAAGTTTTGTATATATTGATGTATGCTTGTTTCTCTTCAGATTTGTTATGCTTACAGCAGCCAGTATCCATTATCCTCCTGAAGAATCAGGTATAATGTCCTGCAAAACATGTTCAGGAATCATAGCCAGCCTTGAACTGGATTTAATATTCTATCAAGAGCTCATGCTCCATCAATACTGTGATATTGTATTCAATCTTGATATACTGGTATCTGCTGTCAAACAATTTTATTCTGGATGTTCCATGGTACTAATATTTTGTACAAATAAAGTGTAAAAATGGGAGATTTTTTCCTTGTGTTTTAACTGTTAACGGTTGTCAGGTTGTTCGTTTCGCACTCCTCAAAAGTCCATGTATTGAGTTGCTTTTTTTTAATATTCCCATGTAAGGATGTGGGGCCCCACTTTGTTTTTTGAGGGCTATGTTCATCCATAATTATACTATCAAGCAAGTTTGAGTCCTGACAAAGGAGGATGGCCCCTGAAATGCTTTGGATATTTATTTTCTACGGTTGTGACTTTACCATAAACAATAAAGAATATACGGACTTCTGATTGATCATTTGGTACTTGATTTCTTCCATTCCCCTAATCTCCTTAAGTCCCACTTCTGTAGGTCTGTCCCTGCACTATATGACTCCGATGCGGCCAAGATCCATTTGACAAGAATTCCTATCAACTTTCATTTGACAAAAAGCTAAACTCCAAACCTCTATTTGTTTTCTTACATCTCAAGTAATGCTATCAGCTTTCTCAGCTATCTTCTCTGAAATACAGAACACATCTCAATGTAATGGAGATGGGGAAAGGAACAGGTGTTTGCAGTCCAAATAAAAAAAAAATCAGCCTATGAAAACAATGCTGTTCCTCCATAGATACATTGCAGTGAGTGAACAGCGTGACTGTAGAACAATGTTATTGGCAGATTCATCAGATGAAATACAGGGAAAAAAAAGGAAAACTAATGCAGCCACCTCAGCTAAGTACTGGAATGCTGCAGTGCATAACATTTTTGGTTTTGGGCTTAGAAACACTTACCCGAGGTTCACACCTAAGCATTTTCTGCAGCATTTTGCATTTTGCAGAAATGCAGTACAGTCCATTTAACACGATTTCCTATAGGATATGTTCACACCTGTGCATTTTCACGTGGTGCGTTTTCTGGAAAGGGTCAGGGACTCTTTTGAATGTAAAACGTTGCGTTTTTGGTTCTATAGACTTCAATGGGAATGCTGCAGAAAAGCATGTATTGCATTTTTTTACTGGTTATTTTTATGCGTTTTGTGTTTAAAATCTGCATAGCATACAACAAGAAACATTAAAAAAAAAAAGCAAAATGCATAAAAAACACGGCAAAAACACAACGCAAAACACAATGCAGAAATGCATCAAATGCAACCTGCAAAGGTGTAATCCTAGACTTAGTTAATGAATTTTGCTTAAAGTGACCACATGCCACCTTTGCACTAATATTCATTTTACACAAGGATATTACTGACAATGAAGAGATGCTCACTGCCCTGTAACAGATATTTGGCCCAGGGATTGAAAGCTGCTGCGATAGGTTCACCTAGTGTCAGCCATTTTTTTAACACTGCTTGTTTGTTAAAATTCTGTGCAATCTATATGTATGCATGCAAATTATTGTAATGTGTTTTTATAATGTAAATTTCAACAAGATTTTATAAAACTTTGGATTTCATTCTTAATCAGAATTTTTTGTTACATTGCCTTTGAAAAGAGTATTTTATTTTGGATTATGGATGAAAAATAGCCTCTACAATATAGCAGGATGGTACTCCCTTTTCATTCTGTTTAATGCGGTTGTCAATGCCAAATTGATTGGCCAGAGCAATAAACTTTTCACGTGTCAGGGAGAGCTGCTGGTTTTAGCAAATTGGTCATTTGTTAAGCTAATAGCATTTAAGGGATTCTCCCCTATAATATCAGCAGGAGGTAAACTGGGTAATTGTCCTCAGTGACCTCAGTTAGCATATAAGAATGTGCTCTGGAGAAGTGGGGTTGAGAATAACACCCTCGCAATCAATATCCAACTGTTTTCACTTATGAGCATAATAGCTTTCCCTTTCAGTCTCCATCAATAATAATCATGCTCTTCTATTGCTACTTATTATTGTTATTCTACCTGAGACCCTAAATTTATTGTACAAAATTATACTCTGCTCACTGATTTGTTGTATTTTTGGTTGGTATGTGTTTGTAAGCATTTTTAGCATTATCATTCATGGCAACTTAAATTTAATGCAGAATTATTAATTTTAATTATAATATATAATGACAAAAATCAAGGAAAAAACTAGAATAATAGTATATTCAATGAAAAAGCAAACTATGCTATATATTTAAATTTTATTTATACTTTTAATTTTTGTAAATCTAAAGTCATGCAATAAGGAAACAGTCAGGCTATATAGCAGGACATTTAGATTTCGCTAAACACTATTATTAATGTAGTGATAGTGTTCACTTGCCTGCAGTAATAAAGGTGCTCAGTATCTACCTAAGGGCCCAATTCCACATCTGCACTTGAAATGCATTTTAAATTACAGCTAAAGCACATGGAAAGTTCTCCACTACTGCTTCCAACAGTACACTTTTAACCTATTAATGTTGATTTACTATAGGAGTAAAAGGTTTTCACTTAGCAAGCTGTCTGTTGGTAAATGTGTTCACTTTGAATAGTCAGTTATTTGTTAGAAAATATCCAATTCTCTTTATTTCCTTTGTATGTAATTTGTATTCAAAGTGAACACAGCATTACCGTATTTACAAACTTAAGCTTTGTATAGTAAACATACACTTTGCAAAGGGAATATTCACTTAGGTAGCCTTTACTACTATAGTAGATCAACTCTAAATATATCTTTGTAGTGTGCATTTTCTCTTTAAACAAAGTATACTTGCTGCTATTTATTTCCATTTCAAAGTAAATGCATTTTGTGTATGAATGAGCATTACCACAAGTAAAACACATATAGCACTATTTTAGTACATACAGACCCATAAATAAATTCCCTCACTGTGGAAATATCTTAGAGAAAGCATATGAAGAGAGCATACAGAAAGCAAAATACACTACAAAACACATATAAAACATGCTTACAAATGTACTTGAAAACACTGCAATTTAACTGCATGAGTGTATAGTGCATATAAAAATACACTATATTGCCAAATGTATTGGGACACCTGCCTTTCCATGTACATGAACTTTAATGGCATCCCAGTCTTAGTCTGTAGGGTTAATTTTTGAGTTGGCCCACCCTTTGCAGCTATAACAGCTTCAACTCCTCTGGGAAGGCTGCCCGCAAGGTTTAGGAGTGTGTCTATGGGAATGTTTGACCATTCTTCCAGAAGAGTATTTGTGAGGTCAGGCACTGATGTTGGCCAAGAAGGCCTGGCTTGCAGTCTCTCATAGTCTCCGCTATAATTCATCCCAAAGGTGTTCTATCAGGTTGAGGTCAGGACTCAGTGCAGGCCAGTCAAGTTCCTACACCCCAAACTCGCTCATCCATGTCTTTATGTACCTTGCTTTGTGCAAAGGGGTCATCCCCAAACTCTTCCCACAAATTTGGGAGCATGAAATTGTCCAAAATGTCCTGGTATGCTGACGCCTTAAGAGTTCCCTTCATTGGAACTAAGGGGCCAAACCCAACCCCTGAAAAAAAAAAACCCACACCATAATCCCCCTCCACCAAACTTTACACTTGCCATAATGCAGTCAGGCAAGTACTGTTCTCCTGGCAACCGCCAAACCCAGACCCATACATCTGATTGCCAGACAGAGAAGCGTGATTGGTCACTCCAGAGAACACGTCTGCACTGCTCTACAATGCATCCGAAGCTTTGCATTGCACTTGGTGAAGTAAGGTTTGGATGCCCAGCCATGGAAACCCATTCCATGAAGCTCTCTATGCACTATTGTTGTGCTAATCTGAAGTCCATGTGGAGTTTGGAAGTCTTTAGCTATTGACTCTGCAGACAGTTGGCGATTTCTGTGCAGTGTGCACTTCAGCGTGCGCTGTCATTTTACATAGCCTACCACTTTGTTACTGTTGTTCCCAGTTGCTTCCACTTTGTTATAATATCACTAACAGTTGAGCATGGAATATTTAGTATCAAAGCAATGTCACCGATGGACTTATTGTAAAGGTGGCAACCTATCACAGTATCACTGAGCTCCTGAGAGTGACTCGTTCTTTCAAAAATGTTTGTAGAAGCAGTCTGCATGCCTAGTTGCCTGATTTTATATACCTGTGGCCATGGAGGTGATTGGAACACCTAAATCCAATGATTTGGAGGGGTGTCCATATGTATATCAGGGCTTGAAAAAGCCTCTCGCCCGCTCACCAAATGCGAGGAAAAATTCTTGTGTGGCGAGCGGCGAGCACAGATGATGGATGGAGCGGCTGCACGTGCG